CAGTACGTTGTTATTTTACTGTGTAGATTTGGGACCTGACCCTCCAGTATTTTCCATGTGTATATTATTTGGTATCTCTCTCGTCTCCTTTCTAGAGAGTACATTTGGAGAGCTTTGAGACGATCCCAATAATTTAGGCGTTTTATCTCGTCTATGCGTGCCGTATATGTTCTCTGTATTCCCTCTATTTCAGCAATCTCTTCTGCTCTGAAGGGGGAAGTGAGTACTGAGCAGTACTCGAGACGGGACAGCACAAGTGACTAAGAGTACAACCATTGTGATGGGATCCCTGGATTTGAAAGTTCTCGTAATCCATCCGATCATTTTTCTGGCCGACGCGATATTTGCTTGGTTATGCTCCCTAAACGTTAGATCGTCGGACATCATTATTCCCAAATCCTTGACATGCTGTTTTTCTACTATGGGAAGATTCGATTGTGTTTTGTACCCTGTATTATGTTTCAGATCCTCATTTTTGCCGTACCTGAGTACCTGAAATTTATCACTTAAATAAAGGGAGATCTTCCGGGACATACATAAAGGAACAGGGAAGTAGGTGGTGGGCTTGTTCGGGTCCAAAGTCTGGAAACGGTTGTGGGACTGAGGAAGGTGGGAAGGACGAGGAGAGGTAGAATGCAACAAGCGAGCACAAGATACGCCAGTGAAAGGGTGGAGACGGCAGACTTCGTCTCACTTCAGGAAAAGTCAAACTATTCCAGTGTTTCAAGTTTAGGACCGCTTCCTCAAGCTTTTAGTGGATACACATGCGGGAGAATGTAGGGTGGACAGAGGGAGGGGAGCCAAGGGCAGTAGTCAGGAGGGAAAGAGGAACAGCTAGGTCTGGGCCCAATGTAGCGGGAGCCCGGTCTTTCAACAGTCCGACTCGGGGGCTTGGTCACCCACCCCACAAGTCCGAGAAGTCATAAGAGGAACAGTATTCAGCGACATTAAAAGGAGAGGTAACTTTCACTAATGTGACCCCGCACCCACCACGGAGCCACAATTAGAGGATAGGACACCCAACAAGAGACACGTTGCCGGTCTTGCCAGGGTCCCCTAGCGGTACGTCCTGAGTATATGCCCCACAACCACCACCTTAAGAACAGTCAGTCCGTCGAGATCGGGTTCAGCAACAAAAGGAGGATTTACAATTAAAGCGTCCCTCGCTCGAGACGTTGGGTACTACAGTTCTACGGGTGAGAGTATGCCTCCCCAAACACCCAGGCATCAAAACAGAATTAGTCCGAAAGAATAATCAAGACTGACAAAAGGTCGGCAGGAAATGAATTAGAAAGAAGGGGAGAAAAATGAAATGCTGAAAAGGAAAAGATTTCTGGGAAAATTGGTGAAGACAGCAGCAGGAGCACAAGGCTTCAAAAGGACAGAGGACTGACCCATGGAGCATCACACGCTGGCAGCCACCCACCAAGTACCCTCACGACGACGACGAGCCAGAAAGGGAGGGGGTCGTAAACATGAAAATGGTACACGTGTTTAACTAGCTAGGTAGTACAACAACTCTTCAGGAAGGGGGGGGGGGGGGGGGGGGAGGAGGGAGGCGGCGGCGGCAGCAGCAGTAGAGGATGTCCCTTCCTCGTTAACCCTCAAACCGCGCATATCATATATAAATGATATCAGTGACAAAACCGAAACCGCGCACATCATTTATATATGATTTCGTGTCTAGCGCTATAATTTAAACTCCCCGCCTGGGATAGGGGCAGCTATAGTACAGCCACGACCGATAGTTGCCAGATGCCACCTAGAAAAAAAATCCAGGCCAACATTCTTGGGCGTGTGAGCATCAGTATTGAGCAAGCCACCAAGGCTGGCGCACGCAGCACGAGCTCACAGCACCGCTGTTCAGCTTGTGACCACAGCATCGCCTACAAATACCATAATATATATGATACTGCTATTATTTAGCAGTATTACTGAAGCCCCCTGACTGATAAAACTGACCAGGATTCTGATAATAGTAGGATTGTGGTGATATTTAGCGCTGTGCTCCATGGAGGGAGGCGTAAGGCTGTGCGAGGGAGGGTTGTGGCGTCGTCTTCTGACTGTGTGGCCACCATTTATTGACTGCACTCACCATACCAGCTTAGTGGTTCGATATGGTGAACACAAATGTAGATACTTATATATAACGTGTGTGTATATAGGGTATAAACAGCAAGAGTAGTAGGTTGGGGGCCGCCATTTTGGTGAGGGCGGTGGCGTCGTCTGCACGACTTATGTTTACTGGTGACCACAATAGTCTTTGGGCACCATACCAGCTTATTTGTTCAGGTATGGTGAATAAAACAGGTAGATACTTGTATATAATGTGTATATAGCGTAATAACGCCACAAACAATATTGTTGAAGGACAATTAGTGCGTCTGGCCTTGAGGGTGGCCGCTGATCAGCTGACTGAGTAGCTACGTCTTTGTGGCCTTTACTCACCATACAAGCTTAGATGTACAGTTATGGTGAACATGTAAATACGTATATATAACGTCTGTGTATAGTGAGTAAATACAGAAAGAGTATTGTAGGAGGTGAATGAGGGTGAGTGAGGTGGTGTTGAGGGAGGGAGTGGCAGTGAGTGGCTCGCTGGTGTTTGGCGGTCACTCCTCGTTGCTTTTTGACTCAAGACCAACTTGGTAGTTCGTTATGGTGTACAAAACATGCAAATACTTATATATAACCTGTGTATATAGTGTAACAACAGCAAAACTATTTGTTCATTGTTTTATGAACATAATTGAATCGCTAATATGCACACCCTAATTTTGAGTACAGCGATGGTTCACACATTTTATAATATAAATATACCACAATTCACTGTATGGAATAATATTACTGCAAAAAAACTAAGAAAAAATCAATCGGAGACATTGAAATAATTAGGTAATAATATATTTGTGGCAACTGCCGTCTGACAGCTCGGGCGGAGTAGACCTCGTCTGGCGAAGGCTCTGCCAACGCCCCTTTTTTGCCACACTTCCCTACCCTATTGCGGCTAAAATATGCCACCTACGATTTTTGTTATTTTTTCCGTGATCAGGGAACAAAAATGAACACTTCTATAAGACGAAAGAATTTTTTGGAATTTTTTTTTTTTTGTTGCGCCTGTGGGTGTGAATTCCATTTGGGCCCCTAGCGGTTTGAGGGTTAAGAAAATTAGTGCAGTACGAGAAGAACTGCAAAGTTTTGCTGAAAAGAATCACCCAAATGAAGTTTTAGCAGGCTGTTGCATTGATCTTATTAATGACAATGATGTCTCATTACAGATAAGTATTACAAAGGGAAAAATAATCTTCAATGGAACTACTTCTAGCGAGAAAAACAGGCAGCGAGCCAGAAGCAGGTCCCAGTAGTATGCAGGCAAAACGTGCCATAGTGTGTACCCCAGAGAAGTCATCACTGCCTGATGTTATAATGGAAGGGGACTCCTTCCAAACAGTAACACCTCTGCTCCCTCCCCTCACCGTCTTCCATACAAAAAAACAGGAGTCATCTTGAGATCTTGAGGTTATTTTGAGATGATTTCGGGGCTTTAGTGTCCCCGCGGCCCGGTCCTCGACCAGGCCTCCACCCCCAGGAAGCAGCCCGTGACAGCTGACTTAACTCCCAGGTACCTATTTACTGCTAGGTAACAGGGGCATTCAGGGTGAAAAACTTTGCCCATTTGTTTCTGCCTCATGCGGGAATCGAACCCGCGCCACAGAATTACGAGTCCTGCGCGCTATCCACCAGGCTACAAGGCCCCCTAACCAGGCTACGAGGCCCCCTCGTAGCCTGGTTAGCCGGTAGCCCCCTCATCAGTAAAGTAATAACTTGCCTACTTTTGTACTTAAGATTTGGGTGAATTAGGTATAAAATTTAGCTTTAACATTTTTGGGGGGAGTCTGGAACTGATTAATTCATTTCCCATTACTATATTTCTTATGGGGAAATTCGCTTCAGTTTACGAACCGTCTAGGAACTTATTAAATTCGTAAACCGAGGTACCCCTTTATTGGGAAGCAAACAGTCACTCCTGCAATTTTTCAGTTCTTGCATGGTAGATGCAGTTATACTTGGGAGCTGTAAAAAGTTCATATTTATTCGAGGACCAACCGGTGGGCGATTCTACTGTTGGTTTACAGGAAGTGATCGGCAACGAGGAAGCGCACCCGATGGCAAGAATTATCAATCTGCAAAACTACGTTTGGAGGATCATTTGAAGAATTATTACTATGTTGGTGTACTGTATGCAGGGAAAGGTGGAGTGTATTTATCGTTACCGATTTATACGTTAAAGCCTAGCTTTGATAAAGTGATTTCTGCCCAGCGAATTAATACAGCAGTAGCCTAGTGAAGAACGATGTGGTGAATAGACTACATGGAAGCATAATGACATTTATTGAGGCACTCTGGTGGTGACATTCCAAAGTTACTGTTGGTAAAGTAATTTAATTTATGAGTTCCTGATACATGTAGCTCTTAAGTGTATGTAGAGGGGGCCTGACAGCTGAGTGGACAGCACTTTGGATTTGTAACCCTGAGGTTCCGGGTTCGATCCCCGGTGGAGGAGGCGGAAACAAATGGGCAGAGTTTTTCACTGATGCCCATGTTACCTAGCAGTAAATAGGTCCCTGGGAAAGGTTAGACAGCTGCTACAGGCTGCTTCCTGGAGATGTGTAACAAAAAGGAGGCCTGGTCGAGGACTAGGCCACGGGGGACTAAGGTATTTTTATACCTGAAATCAAGATAACCAAGATATGGTATTGATTGGTTTGATACAGTATATATTTATGTACGCCATAATTTTAGCCGAGGCTCACTAAATTCTGGAGGTGATTGTGACCAAGATAAGAGCTACAAGTTGGGGAACCATCCAAAACACCATCTTATTTGTATTTTCTTTGTAATAAATGTTTGGTAGATCATGGTTGGCAAGAAATCAAGTTATCAAGAAAGGTGCAGGCAAATATTAATTAAATAAATTACAGCAAATGTTTTAACCTTACCTTGTCAGTCCCCGAGAGGTAGAAGAACTTTTCACCACCTATAACAACCCCTGTCATTGCCAGATTGCTCTGATCTGAAAAACTGGTAGACAGCCTCAATAGCTCATCCCGTGTTGGCTGAAAAGAGAAAAAAGGTCTGTCAAGTATTTTTACAACAAATTAACACAGCATCTACAGTATATGTAATGCTAACATTCCGGTGATTAAACCGCATGCATCATCTGATCCTAATTTCCAAAAATCTCTTAAACTCTTTTATAATTGTAGTTTTATTACTGCATACAGTGGGCACAACTTGACAGGACTAATCAAGGGCCAGAGATCACAACTGGCAACTACATCACTGTTTATTGCTGCCAATGCCTATTTTTTCAAGATGCCTGCTTTAAAAGTACTGCATTAGGTTTATGTTCAGCCCATTTCCATTATAGTATCTTAAAATAAACTAGAAATACAAAAATGTTTATAAACTTCTATTCACCCTTTTTTTTTTTTATTTATTTATTTTTTTTTTTGAGATATATACAAGAGTTGTTACATTCTTGTACAGCCACTAGTACGCGTAGCGTTTCGGGCAGGTCCCTGGAATACGATCCCCACCGCAAAGAATTGCTTTTACAACCAAGTACACATTTTACTGTCGAGTTAAACAGAGGCTACAGTTAAAGATTTGCGCCCAGTAAATCCTCCCCGGCCAGGATACAAACCCATGACAAAGCGCTCGCGGAACGCCAGGCGAGTGTCTTACCACTACACCACGGAGACTTTAAATAATTATTATAAAACACTGGTCATTTATTGTAGGCATACTATTAGCATCAACAAATTTAAAGTTAACCCAAAAGAATCTTTGAAATTAAAATGATTAAAACATTTTACAGGTTCCTGAAGCAGGGCCCTGAACATTCCAACTGAGCACACAGCAAGGGCCAAACTCGAGAAGAGGCACACAGCAAGGGCCAAACTTAAGAGGTACACTTACTCGAGGCAAAAAAATTCTAATGGTACAATAAATGCTTGTATTGTACAAAAGGTTTATCTGTAGTCTCTGCAGCCGTTGGATCAACAGTGCAGCAATAATCAAACTATGCAACCTTTGTCTGCAAACTATATGCCACCAACCCTGATTCGTTGCAACTGCAGATGCCTTCTGGAGGCACTTGCTCCACGTGCTAACTTTACAGAGTTAAAATCTTAATTTCAACTTGCTGTATATTTTGGACAACTACCAAGTTAACGTGTAAAGAAAACTTCATATCTAGCTTATTTCATACACCCCCCCTCCAAGCCTTGAAACTTTCAAAAGGTAGCACAATTATACCAGAGAACAGAAACCCTGCCAACCACAGAATTTGGGTCAAAATAACTTCAATAACTTTCCAGCCCCTTAAACTCAATGTTGCATGAACCCATGAAAATCATTAAAAATGATTGGAGCCAAATGAAGTTAACATTCATGCCCTAATTCATTGTGTTGGGGACAAGCAGCGAATGTACAGTATACAGACATGTTATGCTTTTATCAATTACCTATACAGAATTAATACATGGTATTAATTTATTATGCTATAAAAATAATTTCAATTTATACACTAGAAAAAGTGTTACTGGGTAATACACAACATTACAATTACTTTATGTATGTAGGGTCAGCCACTGCTTTAACGAGCCTAGCGTGAGAATATGCAATGCGTCCTCGACAAGTCCAGCGGTCAACCCCACAGACGCATTCATCTATTTTAACTTCATTCAAAACAGGAATTCTCAAATTAATATTATAATAGCATATTGTGCATATATAGGCGTTTAGGTTCTGTTGGCAACTACAGTGGCGCCTCGAGTAACTAGTAATCCGTTCCGGCACCAAGCTCGCCATGTGGAAAACTCTTCTTGCGAAACAAAATTGTCGTCTGAGGTAGCCGAGAACCAGCGGGAACGCTCGTTAATCGAGCGAAAGCTTGTCGGTCGAGACATTTTCTGCGAGTGGTTTGCGCGTTACTCTAAATGCTCATAACTGGAGCCGCTCGTCACTCTAGGTTCCACTGTATTTGTACTTTTAGTACGTGGGCAAATCATTTACAGCATTGTGGTTCTAACAAAAGTCGTCAGTGAAGCACTTGTCCTGGAAGTGTTCGAACGAAATCAGTCGGGTCTTGTGTAAACCATTTTTCATTCATATGTGGGGTTTGGCGGGTGCATGAAATCACTTTTGGGTCTGTTTGGAGGACGGGCTGGAATATGAGAACCGATTCCTTAACAGGCAAGTTTCAAGATTAGGTTTCAAGTTTAGTATACAGTAGTATTTTAAGTTTTCAAAAAATGCTTAAAAAGTGGTCAGCTAACATACCTCTTATAAATACAGCACAGTATTAAACTATTTACATTTCAGAACGTTTTAAATTAGTATTAAGGAATCAATTTAGTCCTTAATACTAATAGTAACAACATACAGCGACACCTCTGCTTATGAATGCCCTTTACGAACTTTTTGGGTTACTAGCCCAGTGTCTTTTGTAAAATCCAATTCGGGTTATGAACTTTGCCTCTGGTAACGTAGTTTGTCGATACACGTATGGCCGACTTAGTGTGTGGTGGCACAGTGACCACGCCTCATTTTACCAGTGCCTCCTGCCTTGTGACAATTGCACTTGAATTCTTTGTAAAGAATGGTTTTTTTTTTATTTTTGGGTATTTACCATAAAATTATTATACAACTCGCCCTGGGGCCCAAGAAAGTCAGTGGTAATGTCCAACATAAGATTCCCACTACAGACAAGTGTTAATTTTAAAATATAGGGAAAAAGTGTCTTTAGACAGATTCCTAGCAAGATGAGCAGTGAGCCACTAAACGTAAGAGTACACCCCAGAGAAGTCATCACTGCTTGATGTTATAATGGAAGGGGACTCCCAAACACTAACACCACTTCTCCATCTCCTCCTCTTCATCTTCCATACACCAACAAGAGCCATCAATAAAGGTAAGCAATAAATTGCATACTTTAGTACTAACAATTTAGGCAAATTAGTATAAAATTTATTTTTAAGTTAATATTTCTGAGTGTGGAATGGATTAATTTACATTTATGGAAAAAAAAAAACGCTTCGGTTTACAAATTTCTGGGTTACAAACCGTCTCTGGGAACGGATTAAATTCCTAAGTTGATTTACCACTGTACAGGTATATCTAATATACATTAGAATTTTGGGGGGGGGGGGGTAAGAGGCAAACCTTGATTTAAATTATACTTGCATAGTAGTTCAGATTAGGTAATTTACCTAATCTGAGGTAATTAGGAAATATAATTAAGGTAATTATTCAAGTTCAGATAATTTACACATTGAAAATATTCAAGGGCTGGTCCCAAACTTGCATACACAAAAATGCACACGAGACCAAAAGGCATGGCAGTACAGTATGTGCAGAATAGTTGAAAAGCAGATGCAATAGGTAACTCAAAGAACTATTGTCAGAGGCCCAAGACTGTTCAACACACAAATCACAATAGCACGATATATCAAATGAATAAATCCTCAAGGTCGTAATGAGTAATGAGGGTTCGAACTGACACACGGGATGTTCTGCAATTTATGGGTATTAAAGTAAGGGCATAGAGGAAAAACATTTGGTTGACAGCCCGGGTGCATGGGGGGAATTTTATGAAAACCCGATTGGGCTTCGGAGAAGCTTCAGGATCCTAATGAGGGCAGTAGCACCAGGTTGAAATTCTTAACCACGTCGTGGCATAGTTGACTAAGGTGCAGCTAGGAACATTCCATGTGTAGGTTCAAACCCTCATCACGGCCCTTGTAGATTTGTTCATCTGTTCAACACTTCCACTACACACAAGCATTGAGCTCAGCATTCCACTTCAACCGATTTTTAAGGCAACACTTTGTACAGGAGTCGTAGCCGATGTGTGTAATAAGGCCAACAGTTCCAATCTACAAAAGTGGCAGCAAGGAAGACCCTCTTAGACCTGTATCATTGACCAGTGTAATACTGCACTCAAAATATTGGGAAAATAATTAAAACTAAATGGGTAGAACACTAATTATATAACGGTATGGTTTTCGACATGGATGATCCTGCATAACAAATTCACTCAATTTCTTCAATCGAGCCACCAAGATTTTACAAGAAAGATGGTTGGATTGACTGCATCTATTTGGACTTAAAGGCTTTTGACAGTTCCATATAAGAGGTTCTGGAAACTAGAACATGACTGAGTCATGTCACATGGCTGTCGTGTCACTGTCACACAGACTGACAGGTAGGCATCTAACGTGGATTAAAATTTTTCTAACCTACAAAAATGCGGGCAGTAATCAGAGGAAATGTATCGGACTGGAGAAATATCAAGTGGAGGGCACCTGACAGCCGAGTGGACCGCTTCGAATTCATAGTCCTGAGGTTCCGGGTTCGATCCCCGGTGGAGGTGGAGACAAATGGGCAAAATGTTTCTTTCACCCTGATGCCCCTGTTACCTAGCAGTAAATAGGTACCTGTGAGTTAAGCACCTGCTACGGGCTACTTCCTGGGGGGTGTATAACAATAAGGAGGCCTGGTCGAGGACGGGGCCGCGGGGACGCTAAGCCCCGAAATCATCAAGACATTAATAAGGAGTACCACAGTGGTCTGTGGCCGAGTACAGGAGCCTGTGGCTGAGTGGACAGCACTTAAGACTTAATTTTAGGGTCCAGGTTCGATCCCCAGCGATGGCAGAAAACATGGGCAGTTTCTTTCACCCTGATGCCTTTGTTCACCTAGCCTTAAATAGGTACCTGGGAGTTAGACAGGCGTTACAGGCTGCTTCCTGGAGTGGGGGGGGGGGGATGTGTGGGGAAAAAAACAATGAACATTTGATCAACAGTTGAGAGGTAGGCCAAAAGAGCAGAGCTCAACCCCTGCAAGCACAACTAGGCGAATACAACTATGTGAATACGGGGTTCAGTTCTTGCACCGGTAATGTTCACTGTCTACATAAATGATCTACCTTATGGAATACAGAATTATACGAACACGTTTGCTTATGCCAAGATAATAGGGAAGAAACTTAGACGATTGTCATGCCCTTCAAAAAGGGCTGGACAAAAGTTTGGAGCACCACTTTGTGGCA